TCTTCTCTTTCTTCTTCCCCCCTTCCCTTCCAGGTCACGCTGCCACAGCTGTTTCCCAAGCCAGCAGCCAGCCAGACTACACAATGGCCTGGGCAGAGTATTACCGACAACAGGCGGCCTACTACGGGCAGACGTTAGGGCAGGCTCACAGCCAGGTGAGTGCTTCTCTTGCGCACAGTTGCCGCCTTGAAGCCCAGCGGGCAGCGGATTGAATCTCTGGGTGCCACCCTCGACTGACAAGTCACGAAATTGTCAAAGAGGCTCAGTTTAATTTTAATCCTTCGCAGTAAGGCGGGCGGCTAATAAATTTACAAATAATATTGAAAAGAAACCAAAAAAAAAAACAAAGAAATTGCCAAATGAAGTCAACGGGTGACGCTCAGCCAAGACAGAAATAAGCAGGTTTATAGGATACGGGGTTTTGACGTTATGCCAGCCAACCGCAGAAACCAATGAATAAAGCCAAGGACCTCCTCTTAACATACTAAAAAACACACAGCCACAAGGGAGCCCAGAGTTTCTGCAGCCAAGCAAGGCTTGCCCCATTGAAGGACCTTTCTTGCCACCGTTGTTAAGTGAATCACTCCAGTTGTTAAGTTAGTTGCACCGAGCCGTCTTCCCCCACCCCCGTTGGCTTGGCTCCTCAGAAGGTCGCATAAAGGGGAATCACATGACCGTCGTTAATAGGAGTGCGTTTGCCAACGTTGGTCACATGACCATGGGGAATGCTGCAACGGTCGTAAGTGTGAAAACTGGTCATAAGTAGCTTTTAAAAAACTTGTTTTTCACCCTGACGACGGCTGCAGCATCTCCTTGGCCATTTTTGATTCGTTTCTTTAAACAAAGAAATTGCAAAAACTTCTGCCTGGAGGGGCCTTTCCGGTCGTAGGCGAGAAGGGTGTGTGGGATGGGGATGATGGGTCTAGTTGTCTTCCCCACTGCAGGGTCAAGATAGGATTGCAAAACCCGTTGAGCGTTTTTAATTCTGTTTCCACTCACTTTTAATTTTTTTTTTGTCCTTTATTTTTTCAGGAGCAGTAGAACAACTGTTTGATTCTTCTTCCTTTTTCCTTTTCCTTGGAATCATTGTGGAAACAAACCTTTTTTGTAACAGAGGTTTCTAGATTTGCAGCCGTTTGAAGATCTTTCTTTCTTCTTCCTTCCTTCCTTCCTTCCTTCCTTTCTTTCGTGAAACACTAGTGGTTAGGATAATCTCTATCGAACTTTTTCTAAGAATCAGGAACAATTAGTAACATGTACTAAACTTTACGGACATGCTATGTCATTTTCTTCCTTTTCCTTAATTTCTGCTTTTTGTTTTTGTTCTTTTTTTTTTTTCCGGGGAGGATTCATTTCCGAAATTGTAAGGCAAAAAAATTAAAAAATGACAGGAAAAAAAAATTAAAAAGAGCACGAAGCAAAACTCCGGGAACATGATTTGGAGGGAAGCCAATGAACAGCTGGCATCACAACTTTCCCCAAAGCTTTCAACAAATGGGTTTTTGTGTGGGCGTGTGTTTGGTTTTTTTTTCTTTCTTTTTTTCTCTTTTTCACCCCACCCCCATCTCTTCTCTTTGTACTTTGATTTTAAAATCTTTTTTTTTTCTGTTGAAAAAGAAAAACAAACAAACAGACAAACAAACAAACAAAAAAACGCTTGGAAGTCTTAGGTGGTATGTAACAAATTCTAAAAGAAAAGAAAATGATTTTTTTAAAAAAGAAAACAGTATTTAAATATTCTTAAATATGTAAATTCATTAAATATTTTACTTCTAATTTTTCTTGTACCTTGGCTGTCTTTTTTTGATTTTATTGCATTTTTTAAAAAGAAGAAACTGAATTATGCTATGTATTGTAATTAATTATGTGAATTTATTGGGACAGTTGCTGTTTGCTGTCGTTCTTTTATCGCGGGGGGGGGGCATTTTGTAGGGGCTGTATAATTTCTAGAGATCTAAAGGGTTAATATAAAAGCAATGTGTTAATTTTTTAGTGATACTATTTTCCTTTCTATGTTTCCCTGGTTGGTTGCATTTGTAAATCTAAGACCTCCAAGCATCTCTTAAAAAAAAAAAAGCAAAATACTTTTTGTCTATTTCAGAAATAAATACTGTTATTTTTAATATTAAGATGAAACTGCTATTAGTATCTTTAACAAGCACTGTGGAACATTTAAATCCTATAAAATAGTAGTAACTATTTTTTAATTCCAGGGTGTGTGTTTGCTTTTGGCTTTTTATTTTTTTTCCTTTGTTTTTAAGTATTTTCTTACCTTAATATTTGTCAAATTTTACCTACAGGAAATAAAAATGAAATCTAGTATTAACCATAGGTATGTTCTGAATAATTTTTTGATTTAATAAAAGGGATAATATGGTTTCCAGTGTTTATTGTAGTGTTTTCTTGTACAGATAACAGTGTATTTTTAAAGAGAAAAAAAAACGGAAGTAAAGCTATTTTTTTCTTGACATTTTTAATTGATCTATGCGACATTCCGTTTTGAATTGTACCGAAGTTGCTGTTTTAGGAGCTTCCTCGCCCTCCCTCCCATTTCTTTATATAATGCTTGAAATGTCTAACTGTATACAGAAAAGAAAAACAATTGGATAATGTTCAGCATGATGTTTTAAAACAAAAATGTTCTTTTTATTTGACTGACAGTTGCATTTTACACTCTCTCTATAATAAAAAAAAATTCCACACGATTTCATTTCTGGGTGCTGTGTCGGTGTCCTTTTACACACACAAAAAAATTACATTTAAAACGGGTCTCAGTTTCCCCTCTTAGTTTTCTGTCTGCTTTCCATTGAAGTGTTAAAAGTTTTGGTTTTTTTCTTAGCGGTTTAGTCCTCCGGCAGCTCAAAAGTCATGGGTGGCTACATCCATTGGGGGGAAAAAAAACGATATGAAGATGAGAATGAATGAATGAATGAATTCTTTATTGGCCAGGTGTGATTGGACACACAAGGAATTTGTCTTGGTGCAAATGCTCTCAGTGTACATAAAAAGAAAAGATACATTCATCAAGAATCATTAGGTAAAACACTTAATGATAGTCATAGGGTACAAATAAGCAATCAAATCATACTAGGAAACAGTCAATATAAATCATAAGGATACAAGCGACAGTTACAGTCGTACAGTCACAAGTGGGAGGGGATGGGTGATGTGATGAGAAGATTAATAGTAATAGTAGTGCAGACTTTGTAAATAGTTGGGCAGTGTTGTGGGAATTATTTGATGGCATTCGGGAAAAAATTCCCCTTGTGTCTAGTTGTTCTGGTGTGCAGTGCTCTATAGCGTCGTTTTGAGGGAAGGAGTTGAAATAGTTTGTGTCCGGGATGTGAGAGGTCTGTAAGTATTTCCACAGCCCTCTTTTTGACTCGTGCAGGATACAGGTCCTCGATTGAAGGCAGGTTCGTAGCAATTGTTTTTTCTGCAGTCCTAATTACTCTCTGAAGTCTGTGTCTGTCTTGTTGGGTTGCAGAACCAAACCAGACAGTTATAGAGGTGCAGATGTCAGACTCAAATCATTCCTCTGTAGAACTTGGCCAGTTTGAGCTTCCTGAGTTGGCGCAGGAAGAACAGGATTTTATTTTATTTATTTATTTATTTTTGTCAATCGCTTACAAGATAATAGGTATAAGTAAAAACATAGTTATGAATACATGGATACATATAAGAAAAAAATATATAAAAGAAACAATAGGACAGGGACGGTGGGTACGTTGGTGCGCTTATGCACGCCCCCCCTACAGACCTCTTAGGAAAGGGGTGAGGTCAATAGTAGACAGTCTTAAGGTTAAAGTTTTTGGGGTTTGGGGAAGAAACCACAGAGTCAGGTAGAGTATTCCAGGCATTGACCGCTCTGTTGCTGAAGTCGTATTTCCTGCAATCAAGTTTGGTGCAATTAATAACCCAAGTGTAAGGATGTCCCTTACACTTGGGTTATTTCCCCCCCCAGTCAGAATTCAGGAGACGCCACTCAAAATCCCCACGTTAGGGCTGAGGTCACCTGTCAGGTATTTGATCCTCCCAGGATGGGTGTTTTCCTAACGAAAAGAAAATTAGCTTCAGACACGTGGCTCCCCCATTGCTCGGGCAATGGAAGAGGACTAGATTTTCTGCAGATACGCCTCCTTTATTTGATGGGGTCGCATCACCTTCTCCCCAGGGTATAGTTTTCCTGGGTTTTCACCCTTTCTGCTCAATCCTAGGAAGTTATTTAGAGGAAGAACTATTAAAAGGCAGAGCCATGCTTCGGAAAGGAGATTGGAGAACATTCCTAGTTTCTTGCAGAGCCTGAAGAGAGGCACCCATCCCATTTCTCTGCCTTAGGTGGGGACCAATTTAAAGGGCCTCCTTTCCACCCCCAACTTTCACGCTTGCATGCCTGCCTAAAAACATAGTTACCTTGGAAGATCCATCATCCATAACCTTTCTTCTTTCCATTAATATTTTCCCCCCCTCCAGGCTTAGTCTCCAAAAATCAAACTCTGCCACCTCTCTCTCTCTCTCTCTCCTTCACTTTTCTTTCTTTCCTCATTCTTAGTCCTGCCTAATTTCACCAGCGTTACCAGCCCAGTTCCCCCATCTAATCCGGATCTTTCCTTTTTATTTGGCAAACCGTGAGATTGGCCGCCCTTAAATTTACCGCCGCTTAGCGTTTGCTGTACAGTTTGTATTATTCCTTTCCACCCTCCCAAGACCCCATCTGTAAAAGTGGCGATGCTTAGTGCAGGGAGGGGGCTGCTGGTTGAAAGCCGGAAAGAGAGAGAGAGAGAGGAAAACCAAGAGGGGGGGAAGGCAGAGGGAAGATGGCATCTTTTAAAAGACACCTCCAGAGAATCGAGGCAGGAACGGAAAGGTGGGGGGAAAAAATGGAAGGGTAAAACACCATTTGGGCGGAGGGAGGGACGTGGAGACGGCGAAGCTCCAGATGAACGTTTGATGGAGATGAGGGGCCTTCTCCTAATTCATTTCCCAAGCTCTGTGCCAAAAGAACATTTGGCCTGTTGCTTAATGAACTCCAAGGTGTCTCTTAATTGAAACCGATGCATTGGTGCCCTTCCACTCTGAACCGTAAGTGCTCGGAAAAAGCCAAGGAGATGCATTTTCTTAAATGTTATCTGTAAGTACCGATGAGTGGGTCCCTGGTGGAATATCCTTGATATGAATTATGGAACCCGGCTCTTATGCAAACTTCATTTCATGCCCCCCCCCCCCCCTTTTTTTTTTTTTTTTTTTTGAATATCTGGTGGGTGGGGCCACTCAGCACCGAAGCCTTCAAGACCAATCCAGCCATTAGGAATGGCGCCTTGCAAAGCCGGTCGAAATAATAATAATATTGTTGTGTTTTTTTCGGTCAGCAGTCTAGTGTGGAGGAAGAACACTTAAGGGCTTGAAATGATACCAAATCTAGTAATGGATTTTCATCTGTTCTTCGTCTCCCCAACCCCCACTCCTAAACGGCCACCCGTGACCACGTCGGGCCACTCCCTCCATTACAGACGTAGTAAGAGTTGCTTTTGAACTTGGCATCATAAATGCGAGCCGATAGTCAGTTTGGGAAAATTGTGTCTGCCTCCGTTAAACATTGGCTCCGTGGCTTCACGGCGATTATGGATGACTGAGCTGTTTTTCTCTGAATAACTTATTTGGCTAAGTCTGATTAGACATGCAAGAAATACCAGAAGAGAAGAGAAAGAATGGGAGAAGATATCGAATTAGGAAGATCTACAAATAGAAATAAGAATGACTTGGGGCAAGAGAAAGCAAAGATAGATCCAATAATCGTAAGTGCCTTGGGTACAATCCCAAAACAGCTGGAGCAGCCCTTGAACACCATTGGCATTGACAAACTTACTGTCCATCAATTGCAGAAGGCAGTTCTATCAGCAATGGCTTACATCCTGCAACAATATTTGTAACCCCATCAAACAACTTCAGTTTCTCTCAGGACAAAAATGCCAAATCCAGGCTAAACATCTGGCTGACTGTACAATAGACCACAATAATTTATTATCGGAACATTTGAACAGTATCCGCATTGGCAAATTCATCATTAGTCAATTGTAAAAGACGGCTTTGCTTGGAACAGCTGGCCCCCTGCAATGAGACCTGTAAACGCCATCAAGCGTCAACATCTACCTATCCCAGGTCCTTGGGAAGGACTCAATAGGTGGACAAAGAATGCCAAATCAAGTCTAAACATCTGGCCGTGTGATGTACGATAATACTAATATTATTTGATGATCTGAACATCCAGTGGCATTGACAAATTCACCATCAGTCAGTTGCAAAAGGTGGCTTTGCTCGGAAGAGCTGACATCCTGCGACGAGACCTCTAACACCATCAATTCACAACATCTGCCTACCTCAGATACACTTAACAACTGTGGTGAGAAAGGTCGTAAAACGGGGCAAAACTCAACAACCTCCGTAGTTGTGTGGTCTGTTCTCCAACATCTTGTAGAGAGGGGAGGAGGCCCGGACTTGGGAGATAGGAGCTGTGCATGATGTAATTTCCTAGCGTGGTCTACTTTTGAAGGGCTGACACATCTGGGAGATGGGTTGGTTCACCAACATCTGGAAGGGGATCAGGTGATTATTATCATACAGAGAGCAGATTCCAGTGGTGAACTTCTTTGTAGGACAAAAGAAAATTTGTTCTTCTCCCTCTGGAAAAAGGGTTAAAATGGCTATATTTGGATGGTAGAAGATGACATGGCCCCTACATTGCAAGAAACCATGGTTTGTTAATCTAAGGTTAATCGGCAAAGCCACAATACAATGGGCTTTGCCCAATAGACTTGGTTAACAGTCCTCAACCTAATTAAACAACTAGCAGAATTCAAAACGGTTGGTTTCCAATGAACCATCGAAGATCAATCGAAAAGGAGATATTAATATAGACACCTTCACGTTTCGGGGTTCTGTTATCTCCCAGGACTTGAAATGGACACCTTGCATTAGGACCATCATTAAAAAGGCACAATAAAGAAGGTTCTTCCTGTGTCATCCCAGAAAGCTCAGATGGCCCAAGGATCTGCTGATCCACTTCGACAGAGGAATTATTCAGTCTGCCATCTGCACCTCCATGACGACCTGGTTTGGCACAACAACCCAACAAGACAGACACAGACTTCAACGGATAGTTAGGACTGCAGAAAAAAACAATCACAACCAGGAAGCCTGCCTTCCATAAAACACCTGTATATTGTGCAGGTCAGAAAGAGGGCTGAGAAAAATATCTACAGACTCCCTCACATCCCTGACATAAACTATTTCAACTACTCCCCTCTGAACCCTGGAACAGGGCATTGAAATCCTACCTTCTCCTATTGGTATCTTGTGATTTATCACTTGTTATCTGTATTTTATGATTAATGATTGTAACTATGATTTATGATCTGTGACCTATCGCTTTGTTGTATATGTGCACACTGAGAGCTTATGCACTGGAGACAAATTCCTTGTGTGTCCAATCACACTTGGCCAATAAAGAATTCTATTCTATTCTATTCTATTCTATTCTATTCTATTCTATTCTATTCTATTCTATTCTATTCTATTCTATTCTATTCTATTCTATTCTACTCTACTCTACTCTACTCTACTCTATTCTCTGCTGAGGCACAATTTGAGTGAACTTCAATTCCCCGAAGCCTCAGCAATGGTCAAATGTTGGCTGAGGAATTCTGG